GTTGTGGCACCTTTATCAGCCCTTGACGTCCCAACTGCTTCGGCCATTGCCGTAGTTGATGCTACCTAGATGCCCGTGTCTGACCATGCAGTCTCATCTACCCATCCCGATGTTGCTTCCCAGCTTTCCGCTTCGGTCTCGACATTACGGTTTGGAGTTCAACCTCCTCCTTCTGTCCCCTCACTCCCATTTCAGCGCACCCTACAGTTCGTCACTCTCCCTTCGCCAGGGTACCCTCTCTGACTCCTCCACCACCGACCCCCCGTACCCAGTAAGTGGCTACCTTGCATGCCACCATGACGCAGATGCGGACAGAGATATTCACCCTGAGACAACCTCACTCCTTACAGACTGCTCACCCTTCATCTTCCTTCCCTGCCCTTCCCACTTCGGTCTTGCAGGCTCGCCTCCCTCGACATGCTCCTCCGCCTCTACCCTCTTACCTCGCCACTCCATTACAGCTGCCTGCGGCCGTTGCCTTCACCCCTGTTGGACCTTTAGTGAGCAGCCATGGCCCCAGCCTGCTATCACTTCCACCCCTGCACTGACCCCAACTTTTGCCGCCGCGGTGCAGACAACGCAGCCCCTCTCCCCTCGCCGTCAACACAATGGCCCCTCCCTTGTGCGTCTGTCGGATACACCTGACCACGATGGCACACTTCGAGTGTCGCACTGGTTGCAGGCAGCCACATGCACGCTGATGCTAACTCACACTAGTAGGGAGTTGTGGTGCTCTATGCTCGCAACTAATTTGTGAGGCGGCTCATGCCCATCAACCGGGCAGGCAAAAAATTGGGCGTGCACATAATTTGCCTTGGTATGTGCATAATAGCATTCGGGTAGTTGGGTATAACCACAATTTGGCGGTACCGGCCTTGGCTTCCTCCATCCTGGATATACAAATAAGTTGCACAGGCAATTTGCACAAATGGAATTTCCCCTTTTCTTTTTCCTTTATAAAGAGAGACCGCCTTGAGAGATATCATCTTCGAGCTGAGCGGCCCCAGCTAATTCAGAATTATTCGGTTCTGTTTGATCTGATTGCATGGAGACTCGAACACAGATCTCTACGTCCATTGGGTGTACGAATTGAGCTAAGGGCCATCGGTCATTCAACCCTGCTACCCTCCTCCCCCGAACACACCGCACCGTCATTTTCCCTGTCTAGCGACGGACGGTTAGCGGGATTTTTTGTCCCCAGGAATGTAAAATTAAAATTCCCGGTAAGCCCAATCTCGCCCTGCCCGTCTTCACCCGGGGCAAGGTCCCACTTGCGCGGATTAGGAGATTTCGGCCGTTGATCTTTGCGATCTACGGTCATTATCTCTTAATTCGTGCAAGTGGGACCTAGCCCCCGGATGGTACTTACGGTCATGGCTCCTGATGCGGCGATAGTGACCGCTCGTTCGGGTGGTGGCGGTATAGACTGGCCAATAGTATAGTATAGTGTAGTCTTCCCTCACGCGTCGGGACTTCAGAGCGCTGAGCGTTGATTTCACTTGGCTTCTGATCGTCAATTTTTCAAAAACAATTCCCAACGGCCAGAAAAGTGCAAGTCCTCGACCGCCGGATTCTTGTCTGCTGACGTCGGTAATCCGACCAGATTCTTGTCTGCTGACGTCGATTAGACAGATCGAACCTAACCGTCGATTAGAAAAGTGCAAGTCCTCGACCGCCGGATTGATTGGCCTTCGCAGTCGTGTCGTTAGGGTTTAGGGTCGAGGTAGAGGTAGAGGTGGAGGTGGAGGTGGGGGTGGGGAGGGGATTCCCAGTAGGCGCAGCCCATTGGAGGCCAGGTGCAACTTCCTAAGCTCTGCTCTCCCTCAGGAGGCCCTGCATGTATCGAGACCACAACGTACGTCAGGTACGTTCGAAATTTTTGTTTTGTTCGTTCATTCAAATGAAATCAGTAATTCACCATGCCTACCCGTAGACATGCGTTCTATTCGAGGGACCCGTGGGGGGCCGGTGTAGTTGATCATCTACTATAACCGCTTACGTAATACGTAATAGACACATGCGTTCAATCCGAGGGACGGGGTGGATAAATCGACGGCTGACAAGCATCAATCGATCCAATACTCTACCCTGACAACGGGACAACAGCAGAGCAGCGTTCTTTTAGTCGTCATAGAATAGAAATTCGTACGTAACCACAAAAAGAATCGAGGTTCGAACTCTCGACGTGTATAGTGGTTCATATACTGTCTACGTACGTAACCACAAAGAGTCGACGTGTATAGTAATACAGTAGTCGATCCAATACATCCATCCAATATGTCCTGTTATCCCGTTGTCACTGTGGATAAATACGTACGTAACCACAAAAAGAGTCCAGGTTCGAACTCTCGACGTGTATAGTCGGTTCATCTACATTGAACGTACGTAACCGCAAAAAGCGTCGAGGTTCGAACTCTCGACGTGTATAGCTGATTTGATCATCTACTGTGTACGTACGTAACCACAAAAAGCGTCGACGTTCGAACTCTCGACGTGTATAGTTGATTTGATCATCTACTGTGTACGTACGTAACGGCAGAAAGCGTCGAGGTTCGAACTCTCGACGGGTATAGTAATAGAAATTCGATTGTCCGATTTGTCGATTATGATGAAGCATCAAGGGATACGATACTGTGACAACGGGGCAACCGCAGAGCTCTCTCGACGTATACGTAATTTTGTATTTGTATGGTCGGGGTTTAGAAACCTCGTTGATTAGCAAATCTGTTATTTCGCAATTACAATTTACAACAGTAAATAGTAATTAACTGAGGACAGACACTAACGGTGGAGCAAAAATGGGTGATCTTAACAGGTAATTAAGGTCCTAAAAAAAAAAAACAAGAAAGTTAAATGGTTTTGCTTATCGAGATGGGATAGATGGGAGAGCTAATTAAGCACAATGAAGTGCTGATCACGTCATCATCGGAGCTCATTCATCGTTGATTGATTGGGTAAACTTTTTCACGGGCGGGGAAATGGTGATTGATCGGTACATCAGAATTGATTGATTGATTGGATGATTCGCGCGCGCGCGGGTGAAAAAGTGGTGATCACGTCATCATCAGCGCTAATTACCAATGAGTGGATGGGATGGCCGGTGTGCACGCATGGTATGCAAGAGTAGTGTTGTGATTGCCACGTCGTCATCAGAGTTCATTGATTGAGTGGATAAGGCGCGTGCCTGATCAGAGGTGCTTTTCTACGATGATTGGCTCCCAATTGCTTGTCTTTATGGACACAATCGGGTCGTAATTGCGGTCATATGCACATCCCATAAAGTGTTTATTTTTTTTTCCGACCTTATTTGGCTGGAATTGCGACCCGATACGTCCGAGAAAGTCCTACCCGGCTTCCTCCGAACATAAGGCGCGCTGATAATGAATGTATACAAGCTATCTTTCTGGTCCAGTACAGTCATAATGAGGGTGCTTGTCTCAGTCGAAGCAATCTGGTCGTGATTGCGGTCGTATGCATCATCCCAGAAAGTGTCTTTTTTCGACCTTATTTGGCCGGAGTTGCGACCCGATACGTCCGAGAAAGTCCTCTACCGTCTTCCCCCGAACGTAAGGCACGCTGATAATGAATGTATCCAAGCTATCTTTCTGGTCCAGTACAGTCATAATGAGGGTGCTTGCCTCAGTCGAAGCA